GTCACATAGGCAGAGGGAGCAGGTTTCCCCCCTCCCTCAGGAATGTAGCCAGCTCAGGTTACCTAAAGAGATAGGGTAAACGTGTGTCTCCTCTGCTGGGCCCATCCTAATCAAATTGTCACAGGGCAGAGATTTTGGGGAGAAACAGAGGTGGCTTCCTGCCACAAGAGGTGGGTCCCTCAGTCCTGTGTGGCCTAGGCACTGTCTATCCATGGTGCGTCGTGCTGCCCCCTGGGCACACAGTGGGGCTGGGGAAGCTCCACAGCTGCAGCCCAAGTGGCAGTGGTTCTTTCCAGCTGTTGCTACTGCTGGCCTCAGCCCTGCGGTACCAGTGGGGACCCGTACTGCACAACTGCAAGCCCATACATCCTGCACGTGCTCTGGGCTCACCCGCCCAGGCCCAGTAGCAGTGTTGCGGGACAGAAGCTGTTGCACAGCACAGGGGAAAGCAGCCCCTCTGCCTCGCCGCTGCTGGCCATTCCTGCTGCAGCTGCCCAGAGCCTGCACTGGGCTTCCCTGTGGGCAGCCCAGAAGCAGTAGTGATAGCGCCGTAGATGCAGGGCAGCCCAGCAGGAGCTCCAAGTGGCTGCAGCAGGAACAGTTAGCAGCGGCGAGGGGGAGGGGATGCTTTTCCCCACTGTGCTGAGCAACAGTTTCTGTCTCATGCTGCTGCTGCCGAGCCTGGGCAGGCGAGATTGGAGCAGGTGCAAAGTGCGCAGAGTCGGGTCTGTAGTGCCAGTCCCTGCCAATACCACAAGGCTGGGGCCAGTGGTGGCAACAGACGGAAGAAGCTGCTGCTGCATGGGTTGCCTAAAAAGGGAGTCCAGCTGTGAAACCGTCTCAGCCCTACTGAGTACCCAGGGGGTGGCAGGATGTGCCAGAGGTGGGCAGTGTGGAGCAGGCACAGGTTTGGCTGGGTTGGGGCTGTGCCCAGGTTCCAGCTGATCCTCTTCCGCCGGAGTGAGTCTGGAGTGGGCATGGGGCAGGGCTGGAGCTCTGTGCTGTTGGTGGGGAGTTGCCACAGGATGCAGGCTCCAGGCTGTTGTGGGGCAGGGGCAGGATTCTGCAGTAAAACCCACTCCTGAATTCCCTGGCTCACCAGGAGCCCTCCAGGCTGGAAGGAATGGCTACATGGGCCTCATCTGGCTGATGGTCCTGATCTTTGACATACTGGCTGCTAGTCCTAACTATTTGAAAACATGTACATGTACAGTATCTTAAAAGGATTGCCAAAATCTAACAGCTCACTTAACTGGCAACATCAGCTGCCAAGAAGACATTTCTCCAGTACTCTGTTCTCTGAACTGGTTTCTCATAGAATACAGTCATAGTTGAGGTTTCAACTTCTATTTTGAAAGCGCTTTATGGGATTCTACCATGGTATGTGATACAATGCTTTATTCTCCTAGACCATGACCCTCCACAAGAGCTACAATAAGATAATGAATCTCCAGCCTCAAAAATGAGAGCCTTATGAATAGGATACTACACTTTCTCAGCACATGATTCACAGCTGTTGAACTAAGACCCCTTAGTATGGTGCCATGCCCTGGCCCAGACACTCAAGTACACCCTACCCACATGAATGCTGCAAACCCAGGAAAACACAAAGACACTCCAGGACCAGACACTCTCATGGTGCACACCCAACTACCAGTACCACTTCCCTCAAATGTAGTTTCATATGTCTGGATATTTTATATCCAGAACAGTATTCAGAGAAATCCATATACTCAGTCTCTATATTGTATAAAACACTACATTTTTTCTATATTTCTAATTTAAGTGAGACTTTTTCTAAACTGATGCTCACTAAGGATGACCTGGTAGGAACCTTACAAAACAAGTAGGCCTTTTACTAGATGTGTCCAAAGATTGGAAAGGAATTTTTTCATGTAATTAAGTAAGAATATCAGCTTTCAGGTCAACATGCCACCCACAGGGAAATCTTGCATTTCAGAATCTCTAATATCAATAATTGTGGAGGGAGACAGTTGTGATATCAACAAAAGATCACTCCAGTCTATCTATCTCTTTATGTAAAAAGAGAGCCTAGCAAAAAGATTTACCATCAGAGCATCACCATCTGGTGCTCTGAATTTCAGCACATAGGAAAGAAGGAATAGAGGTTACAAATCTAAAGGAACCCACTATGTGGCTATCCTAAAAACTGGTTGTAGGCACTGTGAATGGAAATGTTTAATGGACAACCTGAGTTAGGCACCTGACTAAAGATCCTGGGAAGGACAGGATTTCAGACACACTCCTATGTTTTACCAGCTACCTCTAAACAAGTGGTTCTCAACCTTGTTAGATTTAAGGCACACCTCAAAAAATGTAAGTTCTTAGTTTTCACTTGTTTTTTCACTACAGAAAAATAATAGAGCAATTCTTCTGCTACAAAGATTCCAGAAAAACCATAGCAGAAGGGAGTGTTTTTGACACTGAAAATGCTAGGTTTATCTTGCAAAACATGTTTGCACACTTAACAGTGCTAACACTTCCTGACACCGTGCAGCACCCTTGAAAAGATCTCAAGGCACACCAGGGTTGCATTCTGGGAAAAGTACTGCTCTAAGCTCTGCCAGGCATTCTGAATTGCCTTCTGGAGGTGCCTGCTGCTCCTCATGTTCTGAAAAAAGGTAATACTGAAATGGGTGGGTCTTCCTCCTCTTTGCTGCTTTTGTGTGACTCAATTTTAAGGGTAGGATAAGAACACGCATTAATAAATTAATACATTTCAGGCAATCAAGCAGGGTAGAACAGAATTGTTCTTAGGTAAATCTAAAGAACTACTTGGTGCCTAAGCAGGTCATTCTAAATCACCCACCTGGGGCATACCTCCAAGGCAATGCCTAAAACCAAGGTACATACTCATACAGTTTGAATCCTGGCCTACATATATGCATATATTTGTAAACACTCAGGGCCAGCATCTATTCCATTTTTGATGTGTATAAAAAGACTTAGGGATCAATCCTCCCCTGCTTGAATCCCATAAAAATCATTCATGCAAAAGATGGGTGTGTCCTCCTTCTCCCTGGCTCTTGTTTGTGACTTAACCCTAAGGGTAAGATGACAGTGTGATACAGCAGATACTTTATTTTAATAGATTTTCTAGGCTTCAAACTTGGTGGAACAGAATCATTTAGATGCCTTAGTCTGCTTAAATGCCCAATAGATAGAATAGAATCTGGCCCCTGAAGTCCATATGGGGAAGGCAACTGAAAAGTTGTTATCCAATTTTCAACTGCCCTAAACACTGCCTCATGAAATACTCATTGAAGTGTTTCATTTTAAAAAAGTCCTAATAGCAGCCCTGATAGTCAATATCAGAACCAGTACAAATGAAGGGAGCTAGTCAGTTTCTGTGCTCCTAATACAACTGTGCTGACAGGACCACCTACTTAAGGAGCACTGATTGCTTATATCACTTTCAGATAAGAGTATATTCCAAAAAAGGCTAAATCTTACTTCACTTTTATTCACATAATTGGCCTTTAGCTGTGCAAGTTCAACGTTCTGTACTGGGTCCTGTCTCTGGCTCCTGCCTCTAATTATGCCAGCTACTGTTTATCCATATTATCCAAATAATATGAAATGCAAGGTGCAGAAAAACTATTGTGGACTCACAGGGCAGGACCCAGAACCCAAAGCCCATTTCTTCCATCTCATCCCTCTGGCTTGCTCTCCTCCCCGCTAATCTTCTTCTCTTGGCTGCCCAGTGAATGGAGGACTGCAGCATGCTTGGGGAAATGCATAACCCATAGCCTCATTATTAGAGCATTTAACTAGGAAATGGGAGCTGTAGGTTCAAAGGCCCTCTGAATGATAGGGAGTCCCAAATCTTCCACTTCTTGGGCAAGTCCTCTAAACACTTAAAGATAGGGGGGCCCTCCATTACCTCCATTTTTACTTTGGACAGGTACATGCAAACTCAGGCTATGCTCTTCTGCCATGGGTAGAAGACTAATAAAAAAAAGCAAATTTAAAACCCACACAGTTGCCAAAAAATCAATTTGGTGATTCGAATCACTGTCCTGAATCGATTCGGCCCAATTTGATTCGGGGATTCAGCCAACGCTGAATCCCCGAATCAAACAGGTCCCATCCCCTGCCTGCTCTCCCAGCCCCAGCATCCTGGCACTTTAAAAAAATAAAAGCCCCATACTCACTGGCTGCTGCCAGGTAGGGAGGCGATCCACACTGCCCTGCACTGCTCCATCCTGCATGGGGGTCTCTGCCACGAGCCCCCAGAAGCCTTAACAACTGCTGCAGCAGCCAGTGAGTGCGGGGCTTTTTTTTCCTTCTTTTTTTTTTTTTAAAGAACCAGGACACTGGTGCGGGGCAGGGCAGCCATGGGGGAGGGGCTGGGAGAGCAGGTGGGGAATGGGGGCTCGTGGCAGAGCTCCCCATGCAGCACGGGGCAGTGGGGGGCAGCAGGGATTGCCTCCCCATCTGGCAGCAGCTGGTGAATGAGGGGTCCAGCCGGTGAGCGCGGGTTCCAGTTCCCTGTGGCAGCGAGTGGGGACTGTGCAAGCCTCCAAAGCTCTACAAATCTTTTCCGAATTGATTCAGAGAGCTTCGAATCAATTCAGACCTTTTTATTGGTCTCCTGATTTGATTCAGATTCTGCCGCCGAAACTGGCCAAATCTTGTCTGAATCGAATAAGCACCCAAAGCTTCACACAATCCTAATAGCAAAACACAGTTCAGCTTTTTAACTGATCTACAAATAAGAGATTTCTCTATTTTTTAAAAATCTTTTGAAGATGAATAATTGTCATAATGAGTTGAGAGAAAGACAGTACTTCCCCGAACTTGAAGACCTGGTAGGTAAACGGTCATTCAGCTTTGCTCTAAGAGCTGGTCCTTATTATTAAAATGAAATCATTAATGCCAATTTTGGTTATGTCAAAATATGGACTTCAAATAAGATGGTAAACAGGAGAAGAATTACTATAAAATATTTATTGAATTACTACAAAGAAAACACTTACCTGCTTGATGCCATAAAAATCTGCAATACTGTCTACTAACTGTGACATCACCTGAACTTCATGAGATTTCTTATCATTCATAAATTCATCTGTTTTCATCTCTGTGTCAGATTAAAAAAAGAAAAAACAAATGTTAATACGATTAAGGATGTTTGAACTTTTTGGCACTAGGGTTTCTTATTACTAAGAAATTAAAAGATATAAAATACTACTTTAATCCAAGTAGTAGTATTTTGCTAAGTCTTATAAAAAATACCACTAGCATTAGTGTAACCTCGTGAATCTGGCATGCTTGGGACTGAGTACCTGCCAAATATCTGAAAAGGCCAGATTTTTAAAATCTGAGCAGCGGCCAGTCATGGAGCGGAAGGCGGGGAGGGGAGGAGAAGGGGTAGCGGCAGGCGGTTCTGGAGCAGCCGTGTGCAGCGCAAGGTGGTTAATGGTAGTGGCAGCCACCACATGCAAGCTTTCCCCTGGGCATTCAGGGGATGTGGGGGGGAGCAGCAGCCAGTCCCAGAGCAGCCACTCCAGGGCCAGATTTCTGAGAATGCCAGATTTCTGAGATCCAGATTCACGAGGTTTTACTGTGTAACACAATACCTAGCATGATTAAGAACGGAAAATATAAAAGTTTTCTTTTCTGCATCCCTTAGGAAAAAATATATTTTTCCATGTAATTTTCTAGAACTATATTCTAGAAATGCATACTTATGTGAATTATTAAGGCAGGCTCACAGTGCAGATTGCTAATTTTGTTTTAGAGGGAAGATTACATTGCTGATTCTGCATCTTTGCTCATGTTCTCAAATGGATACGCTTCAAGCAATCATTATCAGTGACTCTGGGGAAATTTAGGCAGAGAAGCACAATTCTTTCCATGCTTCTCTTCTGCTCCAGGGTCTAAAAATTCTCTACTAGCTGAAAATTACTACCCTCAGCTATGGTATTCATGTATTGACAGGAGACAGTCAAGGCTCTGTTACTGCTTGCTTGAGTGGGCTAGAGAGAACAGCATGCTTACAGCACATCTTCATATCGTAGTTCCCCAGATTCAAAAACTAAATGGTCTTTGCAGGAGGTAGACATCATGGGGAAAGGGAAAACTGATGCTCCCTTCTATGGGAAAGGAGAACTTCCCTGTGAGTGGAAAGTGAACATGACATTGAAATCAATGGGACAACTTCTGTATGCTGACTATAAGTCGCAGAGCTGGGCCCTTACTAATGAGCATGCTTACAGAAAACAGAACACTTAAGGCACTTTTCTGCATAACTAAGCAGATTAATACATTTTCCTCTTTCCTGCATTTCTACATTCATCTGTCCAGAAACTGATCATTAAACAGTAACTATGTTCATTGCTTAATCAGATCACACTAGGAATAATGCCAAAAGTGTTACTTATTTAAAAGAGAGTGGGCAATTGAACCGAGCTCATGAGAATTTAGTCTTCCCTATTTCTCTCCAAATACACAGAATCCCTGTACTTTTTAAACATCTGGTTCTTTACCATAAATTGTGATGACAGTACTTAGAATCAAATATAGATTCTATCAACTGAACAAAATAATACACTTTATTAGTAATAAACAAAAGTATATAGGAGAAACAAGTGTTTGTCATTTCACTGCTAGTGCATTGAGATAACTTTTAAAGGTTTTCATTAAAAGTAAAAATACTTAAGGTCTCCAGATTTTCCTAAAAATAAATAACATTCTAAATTGCAACCTCGTAATGTAAAATTGAAGGGTTTCTCCCCCCCATGACTTTTTAGTTTTTCTCCTCTCAAAGTATGGTGCTGGTTTCACCTCACACTTCATGATGAGACCTCACAACTTTCCTGTATCTTCAGTCAAAATAGGGTCTGAATAGACAGATAGGAAAAAAAATTACAGAATCTAAATATTCTGGTCTTTGTTTATCAGATTTTTTTTCTTTTTTGTTCCATCTGAAAAACAATTTTTCTCAGATATTTTCTATTGTCCTGTTCAGATAAAATGTGCATCTACTACAAGGTATGTTTTCCTAAGGGCAAATATGGTCTCAAAAGGTGCACTATCATTATAAACTATGCACCAAATGCCAGGCCAAGCACTTAAACATAGTGAACTTCAAACCCTGGTCATGTCAGATGTCAAGTAAGAGCAGCCTGAGACACTAATACTTAAGCTGGATTAAAGTACTTCTAAATTTTAGAATCTAAAAGCTAAGGGCCAGATCCAGGAGCAAAGTCAATTGACAAAAGTCAAGTTTCTCATCCAAAGATTGCAGTCTCTTTGTAGCTACATATATAAAGTGGTTATCACCATAGCTACTAATGGTTTATATTTGTCTTTATATTCACCCTTTCCACTTTTCCCCAGAACAACCTCTTTGCTTATTCATCAGCATGTATCCCAGAACAAGAAATAAAAACAGGGAAAAATGAGAAAAATATAGGAACAATTTATCTTTTTAATGTTTCTGGAATTTTTCTTAGGATTTCATGTGACAAAGGGATTTTTTTCACTTTGCATGCATACTGTGATAACCACCTGATATACTGAAATGTAATGAAAGAAAATATATCTGCAGCCAGAGGAAACTGCAAAGTTTGAGGGAACCTGTACAGAATTTTTTAATTCCTCAACAAGGATTTTAGTAATTCTATTTTTAAATAATTATTGCATTCCAAAGTGCTAGTTTCCCCATTTTTAATTACTCTGTTAAATTAAGTCACTGTACTTTTAAAATATTAGACAATAAAAATATTAATTTGAGCTACTTCAAGAAATCAAGAGATGCGATCTCCATTCCTTAAGACATTTTAAGATTGATTTATGCTGAAAAGCATTCTACTTAGAACATACTAACACGTGACTGGATGCTATTTTTTTCAGTGTGCACTGGAATGGCTGCTCTACCACAGAACCACAGATTTTCAACAAGGTGCTGCAGCAGTGCAGCCCGGGCAGAAGGGCTATAGGAAAGGTGTCTGGGGTCTCTCCGCGGTCACCAGCTGGAGGGACAGGGTGGGGCTGAGGGGGAACACTCAGGCAGCCTCCTGGGAAGCATATGGGAGTGCCTTCAATGGCCAGTGTGGACAGGCTATAAGCCCTTCCCCTTTCCCCCACTGAACAGTGAATGTCTGTTCAATTTGCTCACGCTTTAATTTGTAGCACTTAAGTAAGTGTGATAGAGCACTTCTGCTAGGGGCTTTTTGAACATCTGTACTTAGCCTCTATGTTTATTTAGCTACTCCTGCAGCTGGTTGGCACAGCTTCTGTAGTAACAATGCTGCAAGGATCCCCTGTTGGCTGATAACTACCTGCTAAAGAACTGGGGAAAGATTTTGAAGCAAGTCAGGTAAAAATAGCTAATATTGACTAACTCAGCTCTAATTTATCCTTAAAAGACTTGCAAGATTGGGAGTCTGTTACCTCTAACTCTGCTTCTCCACCATACCTCCCTTTTTCCTTTTAGAGATGCTTAAACCTCTAACAGGAGTTTCCCTATTTGACATTAACTGTCATCCTCTCTTCATGTCCAGCCCAATGAATCTGATGATACATTATGGTCCACATTAAGCAATGTAGGGAAGCAATGGAAAACAATATAGATCTTGATTCAGGCTTCCTCTGTATAGCTCCATATGTAGCTGCATTAAAAAAAGAAACATGGGGCCAGATTTTCAAGTGTTTATATGACTTCATTTGCTCCTTTACAAATAAGCCACCATAAGAGCAGCTACTGTTATGTGCATTCTTATTATAGAATTTTAAAATTATTTCAATGCTGAGACAGAGAACTCTGCAAGTATTTGTGAGTGTAGTGTAGCAAGCATGTTTTACTTATAACAAGGAAAATTATGGAGAGTATCCAAAAAGGAAATGGAATTATGCCATTTGAAAACATTGCTCTATCAATAGTTTTCCTGTATCTATAAAGCCTAATTGAATGTGCATCTTTTTTGGAAATAGAGGAATGAGTCCAGAAAGCCTAAAATCAATTTAAAATTTAAAGAAAGTTCTATTTTACAAATTGTGAGTATAACACAGTGAAAAGTTCCATATTTCAAATAGGAAATTTGGTACTTTGCCTTAGCTTGATAGCTTTCAGGCAATTCATTCAGGTTAAAGACCTTTACTGTATATAGTCTTGTACACAGTCTTTATACCAAATATCTTTACTATATACTAGTCTTGTACACAGTCTTTATACCAAATATATAGTCCATGGCATGGATCCAACAAACGGAGTCCCATCATCTGGGCTGCTGTGCTGCTCATGGGTCTTGGATTGGACCTACATGCACAGCACACCAGGCTGGCCCCATGCATTGCATGTGGGTCATGGGGACAGATCTGGCACACACAGCATGGGGGCACAAAGCCAAATATGGCATGCATGGCATGTGGTGCATGGAGCAGATCTGGTATGCATGGCATGTGGAGATGAGTCTGGTGTGTGTGTGGCATGCACCACACAAGGCTGGTCTAGAGCACTCAGGCACCCACACCAGACCAGCCTTGGGTACTGGATCCAGCACCTGGGCCTGATCTCTAGGCCCAATTTGGCCCATCGGCCAACTGTATACTACTCATCCAGCCTGCTAACCTTATGTGTTTGACTTCCCTGTTCCATACAAAGGTGTTAAACAAAATAAAATGGTTCAGTGCACAAAAACTTAGTATATTGTCTTTTTATTTTTTCATTATATGAATTCTAAACCTGTATTTTTTGGTAGCGCTGAAGTAGCCATGATGGTCCAAGAAGTAAATAAGAGGCCAGGACTTTTGTGGGTGATGTCTTTTATTGGACTAAGTGCATGGTTGGGAAAGACTTAGAGAGCTTTCAGATGCAATGCATTCTTCTTTAGGTCATCACGTGAATGCATTCAAAAGCTTATCTAAGTCTTTCCCACTTGTGCACTACTTGGTCAAATAAAAGGTATCACCCACAAAAATTCTTGTTTCTCTTCTAAAACTGCACTTTATTACAATCAAGGAGTTAATTTACAGTACACGGAAACCAGTTATTTGGTCACATTCCCTGTATTGTAGGTATTAGTTTGTACAGACCTAAGGAAGGAAGGAAGAAGTTTAATACATAGCAGAAAATAATTGCTATTGGAAATCACAAAAAAGCTGCTAAAGTCAAGAATGGGCAAAGTAGACAATAGAAGCACTAATTTAGAAGCTAAGACAGGTCAGAGAGAGAGAAAGAAAGAAAGAAAAATGGACAAGATGCAAGCAAACAAATTGTCTGTATTCATAAAATAGCAACAAAGTACTTCAATTGCATACACGAAGACAGAGAAGCTAGAAATGGCATTTAAGGAGAACTGACATTTTTGTTGCATCAGAAGAATAAGAACATAAGAATTGCCATTTACTTGGTCAGACCATGGGTCCATCTTGCCTAGTATCCTGTGTCACACTGTGACAGACAGCAGATGCTGAAAGGGAAGATAAACTGGGTGTGACTGGGGTTTTCTACTGTTCCTCTCTCACTTTCAGCACCCAGCTGCAAAGGTCCAGGAAGCTCTGATTCAGAGGCTGTATACCTAACTGTCATTCACAGTAGTTACTGATGCCCTTTTCCTCCAAGAATCTGTCCAATCACTTTTTGAATCTCGCTAAACTTTCAGCTTCAACAATGGGTGGCAGAGAGTTCCACACCTTAATTACACGCTGTGTGAAATCAAACTTCCTTTTCTTAGCTTTAAACTTACTACCTACTAGTTTCATGTTATGACTCCCTAGTTCTTGTATTGTAAGACAGAATAAATAATAAATCCCTATTTACTTTCTCCTCACCATTTAGTATTTTGTAATCCTTTTCATGTTCCCCCTCAGCATCTCTTTTCTAAACTGAATAAGCCTAGCCTCTTTAGTCTCTCCTCATACAGAAGACCCTCCGTATTGCCAGTCATCCTTGTTGCCCTTCTCTGTATCTTCTCTAGTTCTTCTCTCTCCTTTTTGGAGGTTTGGGCACAGGGACTGGACACAGTATTCAAGGTGTGGACACACCATGGGTTTATAAAGGGGCATAATAATATTGTAAATTTTGTTTTAAATTCCCTTCTTAATAATTCCTAACATTTTCTTTGCCCTTTTGATGGCCGTTGAGCACTGAACTGTTTTTAGTGAACTGCCCACAATGACTCCAAGATCCCTTTCCTATGTGGTAACAGCTAAGGTAGACCCCATCATAGTGTAAGTATAATTTGGGTTATTTTTGCCCATGTGCATCACTTTACACTTATCTACATTGAATTTCATCTGACATTTAGTTGCCCATTCACTCAATAGTGCCAGATCCTTCTGTAGCTCTTCACAATCTCCCATTGTTTATAACACTTTGAATAATTTTGTGTCATCTGCAAATTTAGCCACTTCGCTACTCACCCCATTTTCCAGATCATTTATATATTAAATAGCATCGGTCCCAACACAGATCCCACCCTGGGCGACCCCACTATTTACATCTTTGTATCCTGAAAACTGACTATTTATACTCATTCTTTGCCTTCTAGCTTTAAACTAATTTCTAATTCACAAGTGGATGTTCCCTGTAATCCTGTGACTACCTTTGTTAAGAATAAGAGAATTGTGTGAGAATTGGTGAGAATAAGATGTTGTTTAATAAATGTAGCATTTTAGCTACCCCGGAGAGGTGAAGAATGACGAGATCAGAGAGAAATGACACAAGCGGTAAATGGAAAGGACGTGGCCAACATATATCACAGTGCTATCAATTAGGACAGAGAAGAGAAAGCAGAATTTAGACATGCTATAGATGACAAACCAGATCAGAAATCTAAAGAAAGACTGCAAAGACCTCAAATGTTAGGTGTTTATGAAGGTGTCAGAAGTGATAGATTCCAAGATCCTGAGTCTCAAAGATGGAGTGGATAGAGCAGTTGAAAGTGAGAACAGACAAAAATAAGTAAAGAAAAAAGGCATGCTTATGTCATCTGTTACAACAAAAGTAATTCCATTAGAGAAAAGTCACCTTTGAGACTGCTTTCATTCAATATAGATAAGTGCAGTAAATGTAACTACTCCAGATTTTTACCAACACTCTTCAAATCAGACTTTAGTCAAGAATCAAAAATGAGGCAAAAATATCCACTCCTTTTCTGATATCAGGCATAGGGCAGGGTGGCACCTTGGAGACTTGTTCAGAAAGGTTTAAGCTTTTGTAGTAACTGCTGTCTTTAAGGCCTGGACCCAGCTGAGCAAATGTGCTTAATTTGAAACACAAGAATAGTATCATTGGTTTCAAGTTACTTTAAGCCCTGCTACAAAGCACAGAATTTAAGCACATGCCTAATCTCAAGCATGGGAATACTCCCATGAAAATGAATTAGAAGACTCATTTTAAGTTAAGACTTTATTTTGCATTTAGCTACAGCAGTAGATTTTCCTTATATAGATGGCATTTTGAGGCCACCTCAAGGTCATCAACCAGCATGTCTCAGAACACAAATGTTCAAATACAATTTTAAAATACAAACACCCTCCACATTTAGAAGTAAGGCAGGATCCCTGTTAATCAAAGGAACAGGCAAAAAGCATTTGCATTTTTCCTCAAGGGCCATGTCCAGACAACCACGGCTGTGTGGTATGTGGTGTTGCAGACACATCTGTGGCACCATATACTGCACGTTCAGCTGTTCTCTGCACTTCAAGGGAGCAACGGAGTGGGGGTTTTTTTTGACCCCTTGATATCATAGCTTCATAGATTCTGGGGTTGGAAGAGACCTCAGTGGGCCATCTAGTCTGACCCCCTGCCCCTGGCAGAAAAGAAAAAGGTCACCAAACTTGGGATCATGCCCAGGGCTCAAAATAACCAGTGGGAAAAAAAAAGCGGGGGTAGTGTGCACTGCTCAAAACCAGAGCCTGGCCAGCCAGAGCCACACTCCAGCTACCAGCCATGCTCCAAGCAGCAGGATCACTGCTGCTCTAGCTCCAGGAGGCCCCAGGACCCCAGATAAGGTTGCTGGGGCCAGCCCAGTGCTGGTCCCAGCCTCCTCTACCCTACCCAAGGTAACCTGCCACACACCAGAGCATGTGTGGCACAGGTGTTTCCCAGGGATAACTAGCAGCTGCACGAGGTGTGCCACTGCTCGTTGTCCCAGGGGAACCAAACATCCACCTTCCTATGGATGCAGCCCAAAGTGTTAGAATGACCCTGTGCCTGTAGGGGAAGTCAAAGAAAATGTGTACTTCCAAAATGAGCAAGATGACATTAAAATGTGTAAGCAGATGCAACTATTCATGCTGAAAAGTAATCTTAAAATTGATTGAAATTCCTGCTTATAGTCCAAGATGACTCCACTGTGGTGAGTACTGAATGAGTTGACAGAGTTCTAGTCCAAAAGAGCCTAGTTCCGCATTTACTCCAAGAGAAGAATACTCTTTGAACCACTTACGCTATTTTCTGTTCCATCTGGATTTTCATCTGAATACATATCTAGGCCCATCAGGATCAGCTGAAGTAGATCCTTGAATAAATTCAGCATCTTATCCACTTCATGAAAATCAGGATCCTTATTTGATGCTGTTCATCTGAAGCAGCAAAACAAGGCAACAGTGTGAAGCAGTCACCTTGTGAAGTGGCTTTGTGAGTGGAATCATTAACAAGAGCATGAAAACAAGCACAATTGTCTGCTCTATAAACAAAAGAGAGAACTGGAACTAGATAGTGGCCAAGTACTGAACCATACCAAATCACTCTCTGATTGCCTTCTCCTCTAGTTCCTTCGAAACTTGAATCTTATGATCCTGTCTAGTGCATAAGCTGACTGTTCTTGACAGTGGCACCCTCAAACGTGTCATACTGTTTTATACATGCTAACTCCTTCAACCAGAAGCAGCTGGAGGAGGTAGTCACATCTTTGTGGTGTCCACGCTGAACTAACTGATTCTACTGAATGACAATGCCAATTGTCACTCAACCACTGCCGTACCTAGTCAGTTTGTGGTCTAGACATGGTGTCAGATGTTCAGAATGCAGTGATGCCTTTTCTCAAATTTCAGTAAGAAAAAATATCTTAGAAATCTGAAGTGACGTAAGCAACTAATAATAGAAGAAAATTAGAAATTAGGAGGAAAAAGCATGACAGACTCAGCAATTCTTAGCCACCATAGCATTTGAAACTTTTTAAAATGTAAAATAAATTCTAATATACCAGATCTTCCTTCTTGCTTTCCATTTAGTGCTTCAAGCATCTGTTCTAATGGGGTACACACTTCAAGGTCTGGTGCAGAATGGTATTTAGCAGCCAAGACAAAGGCCTGCATGTTGACCAGCTTTTGAGTCTTTTCACAGAATACAGTGGAAAATTCGCAGTCATCTGTATTTAAAATAGAAGGAAAAAATGACATATTAATAATTATGGCTGTCAATCGCAGTTAATGCATACAATTAATGTGTTCATTGGTTCTTGTGTTCATTTTTTTAACACGTTAATTGCACACATTTCTTTGGAGCCCATGTTTGGGATTTGCTCCACAATAATCACCACCGCCTCCGGGCCATCTAGCGGGGCAGCGGTGGCAGCGCACGAGCCACAGAGCAACCTGGGAGTGGGCTCCGGGTGCCTGAAGCACAGGGAGGGTGGGAAGAGGGGGGCACGTGCACAGACACAAACACAGACAGGCACAAGCAGCCACAGCCTGCCTGTGGCCAGGAATGCAGCTGGTGCCATGTAGAGCAGTACTCTGCAGGTAAGTCTGTGGAGGAGGAGGGAAGGGAGTGAGGGGTGGGGCAAGTGGGGGCAGATCAAGGGCCCTCAGCCCCTGCCACCTCCTTCCTCACTGTGGGATCTTGATCTGCTCCCCTGCCCCTTCCCCCCCACAGACTTACCTGCTGGGTGGTGTGTGTGTATGTAGGTCTGTCCCTCACTCCCAAGCCATAGCGTCCCCAGCCCTGCTGCTGCCCCTCACTCCTGACTCATAGTACCCTGCATCCTGCCAGGGCATGTGGGGACCTCCCTCCCTGGGCTCCAAACCCCACACAAACACTCACAGCTCCACACATTCACAAATTCCCCTTCCCCACACACACCCCAACGATGTAAAGTACCTGCATAATTTTGCATAATTTTGAGTGTTTCTGCACATAATTTTGAGTTTTTAGCTGTGTGATTAAAATCACAATTAATTGCAACTTATTTTTTTAATCATGCACCTAACTGAGATCAATTTTTTTAATCATTTGACAGCCCTATTAGTAATCAACGACTTTGAAAAGTCTCTCCTGTGCTAGATTGGCAAATTTTGCATTTACTCAAATGTAAGATGAACCTGATTGTAAGACAACTCTCCCCCCCCCAATAATTAGATTCTATATATAGAAAATTTATAAATTTGTTATAATTTTCCAGGTATAGAATCTAATTATTGGAGGTTTGCCTTGAATTTGTCCCCCTCATACTGCTACAGCAGGGAAGATAAATCAGGGGGGTTAAAAATAGCCCCTTTGCCCTCTGCCCTCCCCCTGACAACTTCTTTCCCCTGCAGCTCCCTCCTTACTATCAAACCTTGTTCTCCCTGAGGACATGGAAGTGAGAAGCAAATTTGAAAACACTGACCTAGAAATATATATACCTGCAGTAACTTGCACACAGGACAATTTCTATAGATTCCCATAGACTTAGATCATCAAAAATGTATGCAGTTTACTTCTTTTGAAACTGCTGCAAGTTTTAGCTCAGGTACTCCATAAACACACTAAAGTCACACCTCTTTACTTACTTGCACGTTACCTTTTAAAAAAAATCTTGTTCAAGGCCAAATCAGTTCCAAATTCAGTTGGACAAAGCCCAGTATTCAAGTTCCAAACTTTGACTGAGCAGACCTCATTTGGGAAAAGCATCCACGCCAGAATAC